CCTTCCAACCTGGTATTCTATGATTTTATGAACCCTGGTGACTTCTGTAAGTGTCGTGTGTTGTGGGTGTTTGTGTAAGGAACAGGACACAGGCAGGGATTGGAGGACAGTGGAGACATTGTGGCAAACTAAATGCTGTATTAGTCCTGTTTGCTGGGGAAGGGGTCAATGTTGAACACAAGCACAGAGCCAACTTTCAAACCTAGTGTGTGCAGAAGCATAAATGTCTCTGAACAGAGACTTTCTTACATGCCATTTCTGCTTTCCTTAGACAAAAGAATAGTTTAGGATTCAAACCTGTGTTTTCTGTTTTACAAGAAATGATTTCCTGAAGGAGATCAAGATCATGTCACGGCTGAAGAACCCAAATATCATCCGGCTTCTGGGGGTGTGTGTGCGCGATGACCCGCTGTGCATGATCACAGAGTACATGGAAAACGGAGACCTCAATCAGTTCCTGTCGCAGAGGGAAATCTACAGCAAATTTGCCATTTCAAATAATATTCCCTGTGTCAGGTAAGAGGAGCTGCCCATGTCTGGGACAAATCAGCAATACAGAGCTATCAGTTTAATCTGCTGTGGCTTCCAGACGGTGATTTTCACTCAGCCTGGCCACTGCCACGGCACGTGCTGTGGACACCAGCCCTGCTTTGCGTGGGAGGTTGTTCCTGGGGCCTCTGGAGGTCTGTGTTCATGTGAAGTGTCCCTGACTCTGGGATGTTCTGGTCACAGTGACCATCTTAACTGTGGTGTTTACTGATGTAACCATCTGTTTATGTTAGTGGGTTTGCATCAAATATTTCATTAATACGGGAAGCCAGTTGTATTACAGCAAGAATTTTGGGATGAAAATCAAGAATGCCTCTTAGGCTTTTAAGAAGGTTCATATGTTCTGTGGATGTCTGAAAAATATTACATGAGGGGAGTTAAGTGTAGGAAAGATTTCATCAGCCAACAGAAGGAGAATATTTGGCAAAGAAAAGTGTTTTCTGTCAGTGGTGGCACTTATCTCCCTGCTCTATGGAAGGATGAAATCTAACATAAAAGCATCTCTGCTATTGGAGAAATCCTTTCCTCAGAGGCAAGTTGTGTGTAGGACTAACACGTATCCTGCTCGATGAAACCTGTGTTGATCCAGAATCACTGCATTTCTTAGCCCTTGGCGTGTACCCCCAGCAGGGATTAGGTTTATTTATAGTCAAAGCAAGGCAGTTAGGCAGAGCAGGTTTTGTTGGTGGACTGGACAGGAGATGGCTGGGTCTTGTCGTGCTGAGACAACACCAGTGTTTCTGCCAGTAGCTGGCGGTGGTTTGTGGTCCTGTCAGGGAGCGTTCAAGTGGCATCTTGCAGTCATGACACACCAGGAACTATAGGATGAGAGGGGGTTTGCGTCTGAATAGAAACATATTCCAGCTCTCTCCAATCTCCTGTCCCTTCTGAAACAGCTTTCACATTTAGACTTGTGGTTTTTACCTGGCCAAAGCCTCAAACTGTCCTTTCTTCTTTATCTCCTCACCTCTCATCTGACTTCAGCATTGTCACTCACATTATTCTCCCTTGGTTTCCATTACTGGGCTCTACCCCTAGTTTTATTTTCTCTCAGGTGATCCTTCAGCCTCTCCTTTTGTCCCTTCCAGCCAGATACAGTTTCACATTAAAGGAAGCTGGTGTGACTAACTCGGTCTATACAGGAGTTGTTTACTGATAGTGAAATGAATCCCCCTGCCAAAGAGTGCGGCTTGGCTCTGCAGGTGTCTGGCATGGCAAGGTCCAACCATCCCACCTGTCTCTCAAGCCCAGTATTTGATGCACCAAATGTGGTGACCAGCATTTTCCTGCAGAGAAGTCACTCATTTTTATGTCCTTGTGGCTATTTGGTATTTAAAATGCATCTCTCTGGCTATAGAATCAGAGTCATTGAAGTTGGAAGAGGCCTCTAAGATCATCAAGTCCAACTGTCAACCTAACCCTACCATGCCCACTAAACCACGACTATGTTTTCTGAACACCTCTGGGGATGGTGACTCCACCACCTCCCTGGGCAGCTCCTTCCAGTGTTTGACCACTCTTTCAGTAGAGAAATTTTCTCTAATATCCAATCTAATCCTCCTCTGCTGCAACTTGAGGCCATTTCCTCTTGTCCTATTGCTAGCTACATGGAAGACGAGACCAACACCTAACAAATCATGAAGATGAGTCATCCGAGAGATGTCTCCTATCCTGCTCCTCTGTATACAGAGCTGCTCACATCAAGCCCTGCAGAGCTGGCTGAGCAGAGGGGCAGGGAGCCAAAAGATCGCTGCTGATGAGACCCTGCCAGGGTGCAGGTGGGACAGGAGAGACTGGGCTGCTTGAATGGGAAGAGCAACAGCCCTGGGCAGGGAGAGAGCTGCAGCTGAGCAGGGGAAGGGAGAAGGTAGGGTCTGGTGGCTGTGCAAAGCCAACAAGCAGGGTGGAAGAGCCCCTGATGTGGGGACACAACAGGTCCACCCAGACCAGGAGGAACATCCAGCTGAGTGTGGGACTGGGCCGAGTGTCAGTGGGCGCAGTTGTGGTGTTTGCTGTGCTGAAAGGCTGGGAGGGAAGCGGTGCCCAGACCCAACTGCCAGTGCCAGTGCTCTGCTGGGGAGGGGGCTGCTCTGAAGCATTGTGGTGGTAGTGTAGCTATTGATTAGAAGAGTTAAATGGGGTATATTATCATTAGATGTGTCAGATTACTGTAATTCATGTAACGTGGTAGTGCTTTTCTCATTGCCACCAGATCACAAAGAGAAGGCTTTCTTTTTCTGAGCTTTAATGGAGAAATACTAACTGTGAGCAGCTTATTAGATTTGTTGTGACAAATGCTGGGTTGTGTGAAGCATTTGAGCATGCACAGTGGGAAACAAGCCGAGCATCACAGAATCATAATGTGTGAAGAATGCTGAAAGTCAGGTGGTCCAAGTTTTGTCTGTCACGCAACTTTATTAGTACTATCTTCATTTTGCCAGTTTATAATTTATATTAGATGGAAATTCATCTGGTTATATATTCAGTAATATTAAACATATTTAAAAAAGGAAGCTTTTTTACGTGTTAGGTGACATACTCGTTAATGTCAGTATGCAGTAATGGCAGTGTATGAAATACCAAGCTAAGCAGGTTTTAAGACATGAGATTGTGCAGCTTAATTTTTCCTGACTCTCTACAAAAATAAAGTGGGTGCTTGGATACATAAATTGTTTGAAAATCTTGAGATTAACACTTTAATAGTAAAAAAAAATAAATTTAAAAAATAAATCTAAGTGGTGTCAAATTCTAAGGAGCCTGAGCAGGGACAGCTTGTCTGTCCTTGCTTAGCTCAGGAACTTGGCTCAGCCTGGCCAGTGAGGGTGTCAATGCCCTGAAACTGGATAGCTTAATCTCACTGTTGTGACAAAAAATAAAGTGACAAGTCACTGTAATACATCAAATGAAAGGAAATGTTGAGTGTGGAGAGCTCTACTGATCTTTTTCCTTCATTTTCATTTTCTTTTAATGCAGCTACTCTAACCTGCTGTACATGGCCACCCAGATTGCCTCTGGAATGAAGTATTTAGCGTCTCTGAACTTTGTGCACAGAGATCTGGCAACTCGCAACTGCCTGGTGGGGAACAACTACACCATCAAGATTGCGGACTTTGGCATGAGCAGGAATCTGTACAGTGGGGATTACTACCGAATCCAGGGAAGAGCCGTGCTGCCCATACGCTGGATGGCCTGGGAAAGCATCCTCCTGGTAGGGGCTGCACAAAACCCATCTCTCTCTCTCCCCCTCCGATTTTCAGTGTGCCCCTGAAATAGTAACGTGTGTATGTGTCATGGTCCTTATAGCATTAGAATGGATGCTACAGATGGCCCCAGCTGAGATGTCCCTTAGGTTGTGCTGGACATCACAGAATCACAGAATGTCAGGAGTTGGAAGGGACCTGGAAAGCTCCCCCAGTGCAACCCCTGCCAGAGCAGGATCACCAGAGCAGTCACACAGGAACACGGCCAGGGCTTTGGGTGTCTCCACACAAGGAGACTCCACAACCTCTCTGGGCAGCCTGGGCCATGCTCCATAACCCTCACACTGACAAAGTTTGGCCTCATCTTCAGCTTGAACCTCCTGTGCTCCAGCTTGGGACCATTGCCCCTTGTCCTGGCATTGGCCATCCCAGAGCAGAGCCTGGCTCCTTCCTCCTGACACTGCCCTTTCCCAATGGATCCCCATGAATGAGGGCACCCCTCAGTCTCCTCTGCTCCAAGCTCAGGAGCCCCAGCTCCCTCAGCTGCTCTTCATAAGGGAGATGCTCCACTCAAACTCATATCCTGGGAAAGGGCCATGTCCTTGTGAACACAGCACAGACCATCTGGGGCGTAATTTCTGTTCTCTGCCGGACATCCAGGATTCCTGC